ACGTCCGACTCCTTGTGAGGCCACCTGGGGTTTTCTTGGCAGAGACGCCAGAGCGGTTGGCCATATCCTTCTCCAGTTCATTTTGTAGATAGGGAAACTGAGGCAAACAGGGTGAAGTGACCTGCCCAGGGTCATATAGTTGCTGTGTCTGAAGCTGGATTTGAACTTGAGAAGATGAGTCTTCCAGATTCCAAGCCCGATGCTCTATCCATTGAACCACCTAGCCACCCAGGTTTGCTTTAGAAATGAAAAAAAAAATGCCCAGGAAGGAGTCATTTGCCTTTGTGGGAGCTCATAGGCTCATAGCTTTTGCAAGGATTCTCAGAGACTGAAGCTCTGACAATGTAAAGAGGAGGAGACTAGGGAGGAGAAGGGACTCCCTGACTGGGCATGGAAGGTTCTGGAAATGCCCAGGGTGCCCCTTCCCCACAGCGCACCAGATGCCTGCCCGACTTGGAAGGACTTAGGAGTCTGGTTAAACAAAAAAGACTTGGAAAAGGAGTGGAAGGTGGTGTGTCACTGTCAGCAGAGCCTGCCGGCAGGGCCATGTGGCCTCTGAGGTGCCTGCCAACACGAAAATGCCCTGCCTGGGGACCCTGCGAGTGTCTGGTGGCCACGCATGCTTGGTGGCGGGATCTGACCTAGAACAGAGCCCGGGGAAGACACCAGAAGGCCGGGGCTCCTTCTGACCTGGGCGGGGGGTACCAAGCCAGAGGGGCTGCTCAGCGTGTGCCACCCGCAGCGGCAGGCAGGGTGGGGGGCAGGAAGGCGATGAGTTCAGGTGTCTTTAGCTTTCACCCTGTTGGACTGACTGGGTGCAGAGGCCTTCCCCTTCACTGCACAGGGCCCATGGCCTGGACCTGGGGCTTTCTTGGGCCGGGCCATAGGTGAGTCACTGTCCTTGGTGCTGACCGCCCCCTCTCTTGCAGGGCCTGAAGCTTAGGAGGAGGAGTGAATGTGGGACTAGTTTCAGCATAGGTGGGCCTTGGGACTCTGGGAAAAGAAGTCGGCAGTCAGACTAACAATCTGGAAGGAGCCAGGGCAGGAGGTGGAGACAGAGATGGAAGCAGGGTCCAGCTTGCCTCTGACCGCATGAGTCTGACGAGTTCTTGGACGTGGAGGTGGTGGCTGATGGCCGGGTCCTCCCCACAGTCTGTCAGTCAGCCAACAAGCATTTGCTAAGCGCTTACTGTGTGCCAGGCACCGTGCTGAGCGAGTGCCGGTCTTCAGGCCTGAAGACTCTCCCCCCTGCCCGGCTGCCAAGTATAGGAGGTGCCCCCCCACCAGATTTCCTTCAGGTGGGATTCATTCTCTTCGGAGGTCTGCAAGCAGAGACTTGACAGCTTGGCTGGGTGGGAGGAGGGAGGGATGCTTTTTTCATTTGTGGACCTGATTAGATGCCTCTGAAGTCCCTTCCTGCTCCAAATACCAGTCATAGGGATCTGTCATTCCATGAATTCCTTCTGCCCATCAGCCAGTGCCGGACCCGGTGGGGACAGGCCCAGATGTCTTTGGCTACAAGAGAGCAGGGGCTGGTGGTGTGCAAGGGGGAGGCATCTGGAGGGGGGGGACTGTCACTGGTGGAGCGCTGCGGTCACTGGTTGAATAACGGGCTCCGCCAGCATCTTGGAAGCTCTGTCCATCTGGGGTCCTGGGGGCTCCACCACAGCTTGGAAAGAGTTCCCCAATACTGCTGTTGACTGTTCGTGGCTTCTATGTTCTTTGGCCGTGTATAAGGTGCCAGGTAAGTCAGCCCATGACGATTATAACTGCTCCATGTATTTACTTACCATGGGATGGGAGGAGAGGGAATACAGGGAAGGACAGAGGGAGGAGAACCTGGTTTTAGTACCCGGAGGCAATGGGGACCCAGTGATGGCTCTTTTGCAGTAGACATATAATGAGCCTATATTTGGGGAAGATCCCTTTGATAACTGGGTGAAGGATGGATTGGAGAAGGGAGATGGGGGAGAGAAAGGTGCATGTGGCCAAGGGGTGACAAAGGTTTTGACGACAGAGGTGAAAGAGTGACTGGAGGGAGAGGCCGGATCCCTGAGACCCTATCGGTCAAGTCCTTTGCGACTTGCCGAGGACTTCATACACGCGAGCTGCAGCTGCGGCTTCTCAGGCCAGCAGTGCTCACGAGAGGCAGCGGTAACCAGAGGAGCGCGCATTTAGCCAATTATTCCAGCACTTTACAATGCGTTTAGCTTGGCTCTGCAAAGGGCTCACCGGCCGATCCCTCCTCCGAGCCTCCCTCCTGCAGGGGAGGCCGTCAGGGCAGGTCCCCTTCTACCGGAGGACGCCCGGGTGCTCCTTCACAGACTGAGAAGCTGGGTTGTAGCTCTGCAGAGACAGGACTGGTCTGGCTTCTCTTTCCATCACGTAAACCTTGAGGGAGCTCTGGGCGGGAGCTGGGACTAGAGAGAGGCGGACGGAGGACCCGGGCAAGGGAGGGGGCCACCTTCTGGGGAGCCCCCGGGGCCTTCTTGTTCTCTTTCTGTCCTTCTCTAGTAGGGCTCCCTGTTGTGTGCCAGGCAAGGCTGAACATGGAAAGCATCTCTCCTGGGAAGCATCGCAGGAGCCTCCTGGGCCACAGAGGCCGGGCTGCAGGCTCTCGGCAGGGGACAGGCCGACTCGGGGCTGCGGTGGGAGCCTCTTACCAGGCAGATGATGCTCGCCTCCAGGGAGCTGCAGCCTGGGGCAACCACAAGAAGGGATGAGAGCAGAAGCTACTGGGAGGAGTGACTAAGCCTCGGGGAGGACTCAGGCTGAGGCTGAAGGGAGCCCGGGGGCCCTCCGGGAGGGGGAGGGGGGCTCTCTAGGACCTTCTAGCACAGCCCAGGCTTCGACCTCTTCTTTGGAGCATCACGGGATGCCAGAGCTGGAGGGGATGGATCTGTGAGATGCTGGGGCCCAGCCCCCTCCTGAGCCCCGGGAAGGAGAAGGGGCTTGCTCCTGGTCACACCTCGAGCCCGGGTCTCCTGATCCCCAGGCCAGTGCACTTGCCTGGGAGCCCTACTATAAAATGCTCTGAGGATGAGCCGGATGGGTCGCTGCGCTTTCTGACCTGCAGCTTTTGCTCCAAAGCCTTCAGTGGCCAAGGACAGACCCTCAGCCTGGCCTGGAGGGAGGGAGGGCCCTTCCCAGCTTGGCTCCTTCTCATTTTCCCAGCCCCCATTACACCCTCCCATCAGAGGGAGGGAAAAGGCTGCTCCCCACTTCTTCTAGTAATGGGGTGTTTCCAGGTGAGTGGGGGGGGCTGTAGGTGGGGCCTCAGAGTTTAAATTTTGTTTTTTTGTTGGCAGGATCTTGGCAGGCGTCAGGCCCAAGTTCTCGCCCAGTGCAGTGATATCTTCTGCAGCATCCCCCAGAGACTGTCTGTCATTCAGCCTCTGCTTGGATACCACCAGCGATGGGGAGCTCAGTGCTTCACAATACAGCCCACTCTATCTTTGAATGCTCAGTCATGTGGCCTTTATTTAGGACTTACTATGTGTCAGGCCCTGTGCTAAGAGCTGGAGATACAAAGAAAGTCAAAAGACAGTCCTCACTGTCAAGGAGCTCCCAGTCTGGAGGGGACACAGCCAGTCTTCCTAGGCCAGGAGGGGCCCAGCCCTGCCCTCGCTTTCCTTCAGGCCACTGGGGACTGGGCTGGCTGGCAGTCTTCTCATCCTGTGCTGGGTCTCACTCCTGCATAAATTTAGGAGTAGGGTTAACCCAACTTCCAGGAAAGCTTTCTGCTGTGCCTGGGTCCTGGTATGTGGTCACAGTTCATGCGTCCTCCAGAGTGAGCCTCACACAACCACATGCTGGAGGGCCATCCCTGACCCTAGAGAGCTGTCCAAGTCTGGGAGAGGGCCATCCCTGGCCCTGGGGAGCTGCCCAGGTCTGGGAGAAGGGGCATCCCTGGCCCTGGGGAGCTGCTCAGAGAAGGCTTGGGGAACAGACAGACAGCTTTAGTTCTTAACCTGAGGCTTTATTTGCAATCCAGCTCTATTCCTGATCTTGCCTCATGGGAGGAAAGCCAAAGCATGATTTTAGCCTCAAATCGGGGATGGGTGGAAAGTGGATTAAAGAAATTAGAGGCAAGGAGGCCAGGGCCAGTGTCCAGACATTCCTGACCCCTTTAGTTCCCCACAGACTGAGGACTCAGAGCTGGAAGGTTCAACATCCCTCCACGTTTGACAGATGGGGAAACTGAAGGGTACCTAAGGTCACTCGGGTGGGAAGTGGACTTGAACTCAGTCCCTCTGAATGCAGTGCACGGTGAGGCCCTCCGGTGGTGGAGAAATAATCTGCATGAAGCAGGTCTCCCTACCCCCACACTCCCTAAGCCAGGAATTCCTGGCTTTCAGTCACTGTCCTGGTCCTCTGTTTGACCTTGAGCTACAGCCAGAAGAGAGAAACCCCTTGGGGAGCTGAGCTGGCAGCTCCCATTTAGCAGTCCCCCACCTCTTCTCCCCAGGGAGATTACCATAGTTAGGTGGGAGAGGTTTACACACATCAGAGCAGCCCAGCTGTCCCTGGGGTGTACCTACAGGGAACCCCCTTGGTGGGGCTGCAGGCCCCTCCTTCCTGGGGAAGTTTGCAGGTGCCTCCAGGCTGGACCAGAGGAGCTAGAGAGCAGAGAGGCTTCCATTGGCTGAAATAGGACATAAATCCCCCTCAGGGCTGCTTGCTGCATCCCAAGCAGGCTCTGCAGCCCGGGGTGCATTGCTGACTTCCAGCATGAAAAGAACCAAAGCCTGGTGAACTGGCTGAATATGGTGTAGGGTCTGTGCTGGGGGTTAGCAGTAGTGTTGGGGGCCATTAAACCATATGTAAGGATTGCTGCAGCTGCCCATTGACTTAGAAAACCACATATTAACTGTATCTGTGTTTTATTACATTTTTATTTATGTTAAAAATTTCCCAATTACATTTTAAATTTCAATTTAATATTTGATTTTTCCTGTTACATGTAAAAACAATTCTAACATTTGTTTTTAAAGAAATTCTTGAGTTCCAAATTCCCTCCCTCTCCTCTGTCCCCTCCCCCTCTAATTGAGAAGGCAAGCAATTAGATACAGGTTTTACATGTGCAGCCATGCAAGACGTACTTCCATATTAGTTACATTGTGAAAGAAAACACAAAAAACCCCCGAGAAAAATAAAGAAAAAGTCTGCTTCAGTTTGCCTTCCGTCTCCATCAGGTCTTTCTTGGCAGGTGGAGAGCAATTTTCATCATGAGTCCTTTGGGGTGGTCTTGGGTCACTGTATTGCTGACAATAGCCAAGTCATTCACAGCTGGTCATCTTCTATTATTGCTGGTACTGTCTCCAATTACATTTCAGTCTGGTTCAGCCACTTTCAGGAGTGTTGTGTGCCCCAAGTGTACCTGTGACTGAGTGTTTAACACCTGGGTTGGACCACTTGCTTTAGGAGTGATTCTAAGGCTGAGCTAAGTCACTACATTGACAAAGCTCCTACTCCCACCAGGAAAGGCTCTGGAAGATGGTGACAAGGGTGAGGGGACCCACAACAGGGGAGTGGCAAGGAAAATGAAGAGGAGCAGAGGAAGGCCAATGGAGAGCAGAGACCAGAAGAGAGCTGCTGGCCAGGGGACATCAAAAGGGGCCCCTGAGCAAAGAATCCTTCACCGGGGCCCCCAGGGCAATCCTGTCAGTACTGGAAGATTTCATGGACTTCTGCGGAGGTTGGACCATTTGGCTTTCCACCGGCTCTAGGGTGAGTCCTTTCTGCGTCCTTTCCTAAGTAAATACTATTTGTCCTTGTTTTGGGCAATCTTGATTTTTCCCTAGATGATCCTCCGTCCTACTCCACTCAGTGACATCCTATACCTTCTCTTCTCTCCTCTAGAACCTATAGCTCTCTCCAGCTCCCTCTGCCTCACGTATGTCCTTGCTTTCTACTTTCTGAAAAAAAATCAAAGCTGCCCTTTTCCAGCTCCCTGATCTCTCTTATTCCACACTTCCAGCCCCTATCCAATGTCTACATCCTCCTCCTGGTCAATGAGCCAACAACCATTTATTAAGCACCTACTGGGTGCTTCATACAGTGTGGACTGTTTTGTAGTCACTTGTTGGGCACTTGGGATACAGAGAAAGGTGAAAGTGGTCCTGGTCTTCAGGAGCTCACAGCCTGATGGGAAAGACAATGTGGAAACCACTGTGCACATCAGATAATGCACTGGAGACAATTAGCAGAGGACAAGTACTAATCAGCATTAAGAGAGATGGAAAAGGCTTCCTGCAGGAGGTAGGATTTTAGCTGGGATTTGAGGGAAGCCAGAGGTGTCAGGAGGCAAGGATAAGAAGGGAAAGCATACCGGGAGGGGGGCACAGCCAGGGAACATGCCCAGCATCAGGAGACAGAGCCCAAGAAAGTCAGTGGCTCTGGGTCTTAGAGTTTGTGGGGGCACCCAGAAAGGCAGGAGGGGGCAAGGTTGGGAAGAGCTTTCAAAGTCAAATGGCTGATTTCCTATTTGATCCTCTAGACAATAGGAAACTCTGAGGTTGGTTTGTCTTTTTAAAAAATATATTTTAAATTTTACAATATTTTAATTTTTATTATTTTATGATATTTATTATTTTATTTTTCGAGGTGGGATGGGAGTAGAGAATGACTTGGTCAGACTTGTACTTTTGAATATCAGTTGGTAGCTGAGTGGGGGATGGGCTGGAGTGAGGAGAAACTGAGGCAGGCAGACCCCTCCCCCATCCCCCCATCCCCAGCAGCTATGGCAGTAGTCCAGGTGTGAGGAGATGAGGGCCAACCCCAGGGGCTGCAGGGGTCGAGGGGAGAAAGGGGCATATTTGAGAGATGTGAAGGTTGGATTAACAGGGCTTCCATTTTCTACCCTCTTACTCTTTCCCTTGTCCTGAATCCCATCTTTTTCTGTCTTCCAGGGAGGTTTACTCCTCCCTTCTTCCAGCTTCATTCTCTGCCCATCCATTGGTTCTCTGTCCAGAGGACATGACTCCTTTGCAATCCTGGCTCCTCTTCTCTGGGTACACTCTAGCCTCTCAACATTGTTTCTAAGATGCGAAGACCAGGGCTATCCTTCCAGAGGGTGTCTGAGGGCCACTAACACCTTGAGATCCTTTTCAGACCATGCTCCCCCCATCTTATACTTTCAAAGTGGATGTTTTCTAACCCCAAGAGATCAGAAACCATAAGGCATAGGAACACTACCCCAGTACAGACAGAGCTTTGCTCCTAGGTGAGGCTTAATAAATGTTTGCTGAATTGGACTGAATTGAATTGAATTACTCTTTGATCATGTCTTTCGGGAATGAGGGACAGTCCTGGGGACAGGCTGACAAGTGGCCTTCCTGGCCCGCATCCCAGTGCCTAATCTTCCTCCATAACACACAGAGATGGTTGTTTGTTTCTTCCAGGTTCCATATGGAAGGACAAAGAAGGTGTTTCTCAGGCGATTGGTTTCCTTCCGTATGTCTCCCACTCTATTCTGCCAAGACAAGAGCCTGGTTGTGACTTCCCTCCCATGCATCATGCCCATCTCCTTGTGGAATGGAGGGAAGCCCCCTCACTCCTCTTCAAAGTCAGACACAAGCTGAGTGTGCATGGGGTGCCTCAGTGAAATTCCTGCTGGACTCTGAAACTCACTCATTGTTCCCTCTGGGATCTTTCAGGGGCTAGTTTTCTGTGAGCATTTTTTTTTTTATCCAGAAGTGAATTGTGACTGGGAAACTGTCATTTGTTTCCATCATTTCCCCTGCTCAGTTGCTAGTCTTTAGGAAGCTAATGAAAAGTGCGCACGACACAATTTCAGCAGAAAAGAAAGCTCAGGTGCCCGGCGTTTCTCGAGCTTGCTCTCAGAGTTAGGTAGCTTGTTACAGGGTCATTGGGTTTGTCTTCAGATCATAATTCTGCTTTGTACTTTTTTGTTAACTTGTGTGTGTGTGAACATGCATTTACAGTTGTAAGAACTGGGAAAATGGGTATTCCAGCTTTGAGGTTTATAACAGATGAGAACTGTATTTTTTTTTTGCCTTTAAATTCATTAATGACATGAATAAATGAGCTTATCTTTACATATCAAAAAAAAAACCAGTCAGATGATGAGAGATGTTAGATTAATGTTCCAAAACCTCACTCTGCCAGGAATGAGAAGCTCAGGCTGGTCAATCTCTTTCCAACGATCTGGAACCAGTAGAAACCCATAAAAGACTGAGTTATTACTGAGAATAACTCTTGAAATATTCCTTCTGAGTTCCAGGCTTCACTGCCCCAAAGGTTTGGAATTCAGGAGACCACATAGTTTGTCTGGGGTTTTGAGATTGGGCCGACCCAAACCCAAGGACTTGCAAACCTTCAGGAGGTCAAGGGGGCCAGACATGGCATTGACCTTACGGCTGTTAGCCTGCCCTGGTCAGTTCTGTGGGTTTGGGGCTTGCCCCGGTTTGGGTCCAGTGAGGGCTCTGTTCCCTGGCTTTTAGCTGTGCCCCTAGTTATGGCCAGCTGCCTCCGAGGAGGATGAAAAGAGAGAGGCTTTTGGGTGGGGAGGGCACAGCCAGGGTGGCCTGGGGCTGTCACTGAAGGCTTCAGTAGGTTATCTGCAGAGCTCCAAGGGAACAGCCACAATGGAGGCTGCTGGTCCCCTGCAGCCTGAGCCTGAGATGGGAGGAAATTACAGAGTATTAAAATGGGGAATGTTATCAGGCTCCAGGTTATGCAAGATGCCATCAGGAGCACTGGGAACAGAGGGCTGTGAACTCTGTAAGAGCAGAGCCCGAAGAGCCCATTCTGAGTCTTCATTTCTGCACCCCACGCTGCAGCCCTCAAGGGGGTCAGCTTCTCCCAGGCTCCTGCCTGCTTCCCCGGGAGGGGGATGGAGGAGTCTTGGAGAGGGCACTTACTCTGAGGCGAAGCCCCCAGAGGGGCTCGGGTGCTTGGAGACTGGGTTGGCCACTGGGGCCTTGGTCAGCTGGCCTTTCTGACTCTGACCTTCGCTGGGGAGTATTTTGGCTCTGGAAGGATCCCCCAAAGCTTTGTTGCTCCCGGATGTGGAGCCAGGGGTGCATGGATCATAAAATGCTCTTCTTGAGGTGTAGGGGGGTTGTTTGGGGGACAGAGATGGGCCCAAGGCAGCCCCCTCTCACTGGCGTGAGGATGTTGAGCTGGTAGGGACATAACCCCTAGAAATGGTACCTGCTTCTTCGTGGCAGACAGCAAGATGGATCATGTTAGTGATCTCCACGTCTGCTGAACCCGGCTGCTCCCATGGGGAGGCAGATGGTGAGGTGAGAAGGCCTCCCACTGAGGCGGGTAGCATCTGGGCAGTGGCCAGAGGGCAGGACTCAGAGCAAAGAATCCCCTCTGTGACCATTTGCATATCCCTCTCCCTCTCTGAGACTCACCTTCCTCTTCTTTATAATGGGGCTAGCCAGACCTGTGTACCTGCCTCAGGCAACGTCTACAAAGTGTGATCCGTAGACCAGGCCTGCGCAATAGAGGCCCGCAGGCCGCTTTCGGCCCTGGGGCCATTCGTGGCATGCCAAAGGATTTCAGGCTGCCAGCCAAAAATGTGGAGGAAAACATCCTTTGTATATAGAGGCCACTGCAAGTGTGCAGGCCAGCTATGGACCAAGAAATAGCAGTGATCGTTACTGAAATGCCCCGGTCTTGAGGGCTGAAAGTCTGAGTTTGACGCGACCTCGTACTCTGGCCTTCCACTCCACAAGTGCCTTGTCCTCCTCAGCCCTGAGTCCAGGGAATCAAGGAAGGCCTCTGGGCCCCACAGACTCAGCTTATCAAGTTTCAGCAAACTCAATGACATTTACATACACGTGTTTGAAGGGGCATCTCTTTTGTAATGCAAATCCAGAATTGGAAGGATCCTGAGCTCCCGTCTCTTCTAAGCCCCTCTTTCAGTCCTTGCCTAGATCTCCCTGGTGAGCGCACCCCCTTCACTGATGCACACTGTGATCGCTCCGTGCCTCCTCCCCTTGGGAGTCAGGAGGACCCATCAGCCCTTCACTCAGTGGTGGGAGGCCTGTCCCAGATACTCCCCATGCTTCCTGACTTCATCTGAAGCCCCAGGGCTGCCTGCTAGCTGTGGGTCTTCACCCTTCATCTAAGACCAGCTCAGGTATGTCTGTGCAATTCATTCCTGGGGCCTGGATGCAGCCTGCCTGCATTCATCAAGCAAGGTCCCCATTCTGAACCTCAGTGGGAGAGGGTCTTACGTGATAATAGAAAAGGTTTCTATTTTATTCCACGCGTGGGAGAGTGGACGTTTTGAGAGGGGGAACGCCCACGTGTACCCCTCTGACTCTGGCTTTGGTTGGGAGATGGAGGGGAAGGGAGAAGCTGAGGCTCAGACTGGGCCACGAGACCATGAATAGGCAAAGTCTCTGGAAAGGGCCACATTCACCCACCCTGCCGACAGAGGCATTCACACCTGCCTGTGCAAGGTTGGTGGGTCAGGAATGAATTAAGGAAAGGGGCGCACTCCTCGAAAATGTTCTGTATCTTCACCGCCCCTCAATTAGCCCGGTGTCCCTGGCTGCCATTTCCATTTAGCAAATGAAACAGCTGTAAGGCAGGTCAAGGGGGAGGTGTTCTATAGAGGTGACCCCATGATCCCCCTTTCCAATTTCTAGGAAACCAATTTTTCAGTTGTTTGCGGCTGAAGATTTTCTGGTAGGAGCCAATTTCAACAAGAAAAATCTTCCCGCACCCCTAGGAAGACCCCGCTGTGCTGGGGTGGCTCATGCTGGGTGATCAATATCTCTTTTGCACTCTCTAAGGAGAGTGAGCCCTCCTCTTCTGCCACTACCAAGGGAGGCCCCATTGACAGCCCTGGCCCAAGGAAGCAGGAGATGAGGTTTGGGCCCCCTGCCCAGGAGCTAATGAAGCAAATCTCATTAGCTGTGTGCTCAGCATTTCGATTTCTCCTTTCCTCCCTGGCAGAGGTAGCCTTGAGTCCAGGAAGTCCTCAAGGCCGGGACCATTTGACTTTGGGGTTTGTCAGGACAGAAGAAATGGATACATACACACACACATACACAGGTACACATATGTATTCACACGTATAGATACATATATCACGTTATAAAGTACACATATGTAGCACACACACACGTAGTTAGAAAATCATCTATGGGATAAGGGAATGTTTGTGAGTGTCCTGGGTCTATTTCTTTGGGGTGGGAATAGAAAGGGTGATGGGGGGGGCAAGCGGAACAGAGGCCATAGTGCTTAATAAATACTCATTGATGTTATAATTTGTACCAAAATATCCTTAGCAGTATTCTTGATGCTGGCAAAGAACTGGAAACAGCCCTTGTGATTTTTAAAAAGACTCATGTGTTTTTTTCTTTTTAAAGTGGTTTCGTTGTCTTTAGGTTACAGTCATTTCCCATTCCATGCCCCCCCCCAAAGAAGGACACTTGAGGTGATTAGTCTCACTTGTAGATTGAAAGGGGTGACCTATAGCTAACCAGGCAGAGAGGTGGCCTGTGGCCAGGCAGAAATGGCTGGATGCAGGAGCTCCTAGGGCCAAAGCCTCCTCACCTGCAAGGCATGTAAGAAATTGAAGAAATGTGTTCATTACAGTATGAGTGGGTGGGCAACCCACAGATAGCACAGGTCCCTCCTTACTGGGTGTGTGCTTTGGACTGAGGAGCTCATCTCTACTAAGTTGGGTGGATGTGCTCTCTGTCTGTCTGTGTCTCCTCTGTCTGTCTGTGTCTCTGTGTCTGTCTGTCTGTCTGTCTGTCTCTCCTATGTAGGTTGATTCTCTTTCTGATTCTAGGCTCTCCTGTCTATGGAAACACGCACTTGCTGAGGGCTATGATCTCAATTTGCCTCCACTGTATTAGGAACTTCCAAATGGATCCGTCTACTATCTTTTCCTTTTTATATATCAGTCAAGCTGAAGGGATGTTTCTTCCATCTCTCCTCAAATATCCATCTCCCTGAATCTCTACCTGTACCAGTATTAATCACATGAGATGAGAATTTAGCAGACACCAATTTTTTTTTATATTAAAAGGAGGTAAGATGATAGCAGTGAAAGGGTGGTGAGCCACGGAGGGGAATATTTCATTTGGATGGGAAGAAGCTGGCAGCTCAAGCTATTGCCTATGCAGGCAGACTCAGTTTTTCCTCCTTAGCTCAATCATCTCTCCAAAGGAGAAGAAATCATCTACCAGAGAGATAGAGAGACAGAGGTAGACATAGAGACAGAGATAGAGAGACACAGAGAGAGACAGACAGAGAGACGGAAAGAGAGACAGACAAAGACAGGGAGACAGAGAAAAATGAGAGAGAGAGAGAGAGAGAGAGAGAGAGAGAGAGAGAGAGAGAGAGAGAGAGAGAGAGAGAGAGAGAGAGAGGAAAGTGAGGGAGAGAGGGAAAAGGAGGGAGAGAGAATTAGAGAGGCCCAGGCATGAGGAACAGCCAGAGAAAATGCTGGAAGTAAGGAGTGGCAATCTTTCTTATTAAGCCCTCAAGCCAAGTGCCTCTCCTGCTTCTTCTCTGCCTCATGATTCCTTTATTTAAATTAAATTTTTTTTTCAGTGAACAAAATTCAATTTTCTCTCCCTCTCACCTCATCATCCCCCTCAAGCTGAAGAAAAGAAAAATGAACACAAACCCTCACAGTAGACATGCAAAGAAGGGCAAACACATTCCCACATTGGCTGTGACCAGAAATGTACATCTCCTTCACTTGGGCATTCCTCTGAGCCAAGAAACAGGATCTTGGCTGGTGGACTGTCTAGAGCAGGCCATGTGTCAGCAGCTATGCTTTTACCTTGGGTATCTTGAAGTCTAACTCTGGGTGGGTCATGCTGCCAAATGACTGACCTGGACTCCTGCAGAGAGCCCCCAGGTACCCTGGGGCCAAGACATCTGCCAAATCAGACTCTGATTTCTCTTCGTCCATCATACCATTCCTAGGGGAGTGCCCCAGGACAACCCTTCGGCAGCCCCCAGGTAGAGTCCAGATAGGGGGATGGAGGATCCAGGAGCCTTCTGGGAAGTGTCTGAGACCTCCAGACAGTGTGGCGCTGCTTAAAACACATTGTGAAGGGCTGGGGTTCCTCCTCTCTGAAGCCCTGACTTTGCTAGGCAACACTGAGGGCATTCAAAGGGTCAGCCTCTAAAGGATGAATCCCAGAGTCTGTGATGCATTCAACATCCAGGGCTGAGCTACCTCAGGAGCCGGTGCTGAAGCTCCCTGGAACCCGCCTTACCCCAATCATTTAGAATTCACTCATCTGGGAACATGCTGGTTTTCCTCAATAGCAGGAAAGCTCTTTGAGGGCAGGAGCGATTTGGCAGGTTTCTCTTCCTCAGTATCCCAGCACCTAGAAGCAGGTTCTTGGTAAATGCCGCCTGCAGGCTCTAAAAGGAGTCACTGGGGAAGACCTCACCACCCAGCCTATTCCAACACGCTCACAATAAGCCGATGGTAGAGGATGATAATGGGTCGCTAGGGGGCGCCATAGCACACAGTGCCAGGCCTGGGTCAGGAAGAACTTCATGAGTTCAAATCCAGCCTCAAACACTTCTTATCCTGTGAGCCTGGGCAAGTCACTTAAGCCTGTTTGCCTCAGTTTCCTCATCTGTAAAATGAGCTGGAGAAGGAAACGACTCCAATTCTCTCTGCCAAGAAAACCCCACGTGGGGTCATGGAGATTTGGACATGACTGAAAATGACTGAACGACAACAGTGGATGACAGTCAGAATTGGGTCAGTTTGAAAACCTGAGTTCAAATCCTGCTTCAGATAGATATCGGCAGTGTGACTACGGGCAGTCACAGAACTTCATTCAGTGTCAGCTGGAGACACTGACTTTCTCTCAGTTTCTCTCTCTCTCTCTCTCTCTCTCTCTCTCTCTCTCTCTCTCTCTCTCTCTCTCTCTCTCTCTCTTTTTGGCGATCAGGGTTAAGTGACTTGTCCAGGGTCACACAGCTAGTAAGTATCAAGTGTCTGAGGCCCGATTTGAATTCAGGTCCTCTTGACTCCAAGGCGGGAGCCCTATCCACCGCACCACCTAGCTGCCCCAATATTGACTTTCTCAGACAGTTGTTGGAGGATCCAAAGGGACCTTATGTGTAAAGCACTTTACATACCCTCAGGTGCTATGTAAGTATTGGGCTGGCCATTTCATGGGAACTGATTTTGGAGAGAGCCATCTTACCCAGAGAAAGTGGAAACTGAAAAGACAGCGTCTGCTAGGAAGGCATCATTCCTGACCTTCTAGCTGTGACCGACCCTGACTCTGCCTCAGTTTCCTGTCTTGTCACCAGGGTTGGGTTGGTGCAGCTGGCTGAGGATGCCAAAGGAGACAAGCTGCAGCTACAGTCCACTGGGTGTCTGGATAACAAGTCTGATAGCTTGCACGCTCTGAACAGTTTATTTTAAAAATGCTGTCTCCATCAGTCGTTTATTGATGACTCTCCCTAGTGAGATAATTAAGGAGTCGTGTCTAGGACAGAAAAAAAAGTATTCCCCCTTGCCATGCCTAATTGCCCAGTAGTTTATTAATCTTGTAAGAATGTTGGTTGAGGAAGGCTCCTCTCGGTTTTCAGCCCAGCCTGGCCAGGAATAGTTGGGCACTTGGTGATGCACTGGTCAGGTAGATCGGTCCTCTGGGGCAAAAGGCCAGCACTCTTGGGGTGGGGCAGGGAGGGCCCTCTTTCCTTGGACATAGAAGCACAGAGAAATAAGCAGTGTGTTATGGGGATCCCAGAAACCACATAGTTAACCCCTTCATTTCACAAAGGAGGCTGAAGAGGAGGGTCACCTAGTGAGGCAGAAGTGCCCTGGGTGATACAAATGTTTAGCATGAGGCCGCACCAAGGCCAACACTCTGATGGTGACTTGGAGTGAGGAGACTCCCATCGCCAACCCTCCAGCGCCTGGATTCTGGGAGTCCACACAAGGTTCAACTTCTGCAGTTATGCCATCAACAAACTAGCATCTGATTTATTTACTTATTTACTTACTTATTCACCTATTTATTTATTTGCTTGGCAGAGTCATTTGTCTGTCTGTCTGTCTGTCTGTCTGTCTATCTATCTATCTATCTATCTATCTATCTATCTATCTATCTATCTATCTGTCTATCTATCCAT